AGCAATAAAGGTGTAGAAGATATAATTTTATAACTGGGTTTCGATAAGGTTTTTTATCGATAAAAAAAGATCGAGATGAGTTATCGATTTTTAATGATAAACTTGATATGCGCGCTGTAATTACGGACATTTTAAAAAAAATTTGAAGTCTCTAGCTCTTATATCTTCTGAAATCGACGCGTTCATACATACGGACAGACGGACAGACGGACAGACAGACGGACAGGGCCAAATCAACTCAGCTCGTCACCCTGATCAAGAATATATATACTTTGTGGGGTCTGCCACGCCTCCTTCTCCCTGTTACATACATTTCAACAAAACCATTATACCCTGATTTCCCATTGAAAATGGGTTCAGGGTATAAAAACTCTACAGAAAACACTCAACTATTTGCTGCATTCATTCGATTCTAATTGCATTGCTTTAAAGGATTCCCGATAGCCAATTAAAAATTTGTCTAATACTAAAACTTGCATTGCCTCTCTTTAAAGGTTTCGCCCGACTAATTGCAAAATATTTGTTTAGAATTCCAATTAGAAAATATTTATATGAAAGCCCTGCTGCAACTAGTGCATGCTCAACGCATCAAGGTAGACAGAGAGAGAGTGAAAGAGGGAAGATATTAGAGGAATGTGCAAAATATTACTGAATGCAAATGGAGTAAAAGTTTTTATTCCTACAGCTGCGGCTTCTAATTGGAGTTGAGCGTTGAAAAGCGACTTTATGAAAATCAATAAAATCGAAAACTAGCCAGAGAGTAGCAGCAACCACCACAAAACAATACACAGACACACACACTTATACACTTACACATACACATGAAGTTTTTGCTAGAGGCCGGAAATGTGTGCGCGCCTGTGCCAGGAGTTGAGACCAGACCTGGCCAGGAATGCGGGCGGGGGCGGCGGTGGCAGCGGCGGCGGTGGCGGGCAAAAGAATGAATGGGCAAAGCGAAAAAAAAAAACGCTAGCGCAGCTTTCAACCACCGCAGAGCAAAGTAGAAGTTGTTGCAATGAAACAATGTTTATTGTTGCCCAGCCGGATGTGCAGTGAAGTGCCGAAGCACGAAGAGCAGGAGGCGGCAGGAGGGGCAAAGGCAGTGGCAGCAGTAGAGGAGGCGCAGTCCAACAGCCAAAGCAAACAATGCAAAATGTGTTTGCTGCGTCTAAACGTTGGATTTCCACGTGTGAGCGCTTTAGCGAACGTTGTTGAACTGTTCTAATGCCATAAATCTAATTGAAGCGGCTTTTGGGTTAGCCGGTCACACAGCCAGAGCCAGAGCCAGAGCTAAAGCCCCAGTCCACTCAATCCCTCACTGCCGCCTGGCTTGATAAGCACCATTAAAAGCAACTGGAACTTTTCTTAAGCGACATAAATTAAAAGTTTGCCCAGTGTCCAGCTAAGTAAAACAATTGAACAATGCAGCCAGCAGCAGCAGAAACGACAACAACAACAACTTGCAACAACTAGAACTAGCTGCATTTCCAATTGTCAGGCAAAAACAAAAATTCAACTTAAAATGACATAAAATATATAAAACTTTGCACTGCTACCTGTGCCAAATGGGCGTGGCAGGTGCTGTCAACTGTAACTCCAACAACAACAACAACTTGGGCAACTTGAAGGAGGTCCATTAAATGGATTGATGCTGCGACGGCATCATCATTTGAATTGTGTCAATTGACAATGGGTGAGGGTTAAAAGAGGCAAGGAAAGTGTATTCAGAGAACATTAAGAAATGAAATATGAAATAAAAACTTGAGTTCTTTTAGTCCCAAACAAATCAAATATTCAATACAGACATTTACGAAACTAAATAAAGGAAACAAATTTTTTGTAATATTTTACAATATGTAAAATTAATCATAGCAAAAGTCAAACTGTTTAGTCTAATAATAAAAAATTAATATTAAAAGTAAGCCTTCTCAGGTCAGATCTTATTTATATTGAAATAAGTTTACATAAATGAATAATATGATCTCAAATATAACATAATATATGTATATAACCTCTTAAGCAACCCCTGAAATTCTTGAAATTCAGATTAATAACAAATCTGTCTTATTGCTAAGCCTGCTTGAAAACGATCCATTTAAATAAAAAACGAATTATCTTTAAAACGTAAAAAAAATAACGCTAGAAATCTGTATTCCATTTTTTAATGTCCCACGCCTTTATCTCTCTTACACTCTCTATCTTTGTCTATCCCCATCAATTTCTTACGCATTTAATTCTCGTTCCATCTCTGCCTATCTCTGTCTTTCTCTGTCTACCAACTTTCCACACTTGTCTCACTGTTTGCCACGCACTTTCAATTTTTCTTATCAATAAAAGACGTTGCCTCTGTCTCTGCCGCTGCTTCTCGTTTTCATTGTGTTGTAAGTGGGCGACGTTGAGAGCTGCATGAAAGAAAAAAAAAATCAAATAAATGGCTGATGCCAGCCATGAGTGACTAAGAGATGCCGGACAGAAAGAGAATATTTAGAGGTAATTAAGAATTTTAAGAGATTCTCCTAAAAAGTGATTACAAAATTCGCACTCTATAATAGAATATATCATTTCTGCCCTTTTTGTAAGCCTCCTTAAATAAAAACCAAAACATTTACTTTGTTACATCTTTGGTTACAAAACCAATATACCCCATTCGATCACACTGTCTACAGGGCATGTGGCAACACAAAGGCCGCTCTCGCGGCTTCAACAATTGAATTTTCAACTTCTGCTGATACTGCCACTTCAGCTACTTTTTCACTATTAAGCAGCAGCGGCGGCCGTTGTTATTCTCGCCTCCACCTCCACCTCCTTCCTTTTGCTGTAAATTGTGATTTGCCTTTGTGAATTGTCAAATCGTAAGCAAAATAAAAATAATCAAAAAGAAACAAGTAAGAAAGCTCTAGTCGAGACTGCTCGACTACGAGATCCCCTGAACCCTTGGAGCAATAGATATTTCAATACTTTTTCGCGACTTTCAGCTTACACAAGAAACAACACACACACACACACACGTACGCAAACACAGGCATACATACACACACACGCATACAGACACACATACACACACACACACGCATACATACACAAACGCATACACACACACATACACACACACATACACAAACACATACACACACAAGCAACCACGCATAAACACGCATGGGCTGCAGTGTGCGCTTACTATGAGAACTTAATTGTTTAATAACTTTTTTTTATGGACGTACGATCTTCATGAAACTTTTAGATTATGATTATAATATGAATATGCATGTAATTGCCAAAGCACAAGCCTCTAGTATTTGAAATACGCTTTTTACAAAAGTGAGGGTGAGGGGGAGAATTTAGAGGTGGGGGGTAAATTTTAACAAAAACCGAAATTGTATAAATTGCATATAGGCATACATTAAAAATTTGGAGTCTCTAGCAATAAAGGTGTAGAAGATATAATTTTATAACTGGGTTTCGATAAGGTTTTTTATCGATAAAAAAAGATCGAGATGAGTTATCGATTTTTAATGATAAACTTGATATGCGCGCTGTAATTACGGACATTTTAAAAAAAATTTGAAGTCTCTAGCTCTTATATCTTCTGAAATCGACGCGTTCATACATACGGACAGACGGACAGACGGACAGACGGACAGACAGACGGACAGGGCCAAATCAACTCAGCTCGTCACCCTGATCAAGAATATATATACTTTGTGGGGTCTGCCACGCCTCCTTCTCCCTGTTACATACATTTCAACAAAACCATTATACCCTGATTTCCCATTGAAAATGGGTTCAGGGTATAAAAAGAAATGAAGAGCAAAGCATCAGCTCAGATCTTCAACAAGTTAGTGCCGTTAGACGAGAGCTAGGCAGATTTACCGTTTGCCATTTCGCAATGATTTGTGAGTTAAACAGAAAAAAAGTCCAAAAGGCATAATTGCCAAGTGCAGCACTCAAAATGAACTCTTTGAACTGCTCCCAAAAGGGTAGACAGAGACAGCCTCCCTCCCTCTCTCACACACTGCCATTCAGATATGAAAAAAGTGCCGACCGATAAAAAGAAGGCAGTGGAAAGAGAAGTGGCAAAAGGTAAATAGCCAGCCATCAAAAAGCGCCATCAGCAACAACAACAGCAGACTGGAAGTTGTCATCGCATAGTAGAATGTGTTAATGAAAATTCGTATGCCTGGAAGCAAAGAAATGGGAGGTGGAGAAACATGCAGATAAGCTCTATAAATACTATTTTGAAAAAAAAAAAAAAAAAATTGTATTGTGGCTTGAACTTCAAACAGCGATGATGCTGGGATAATAAACAGGCCAGAGCAAAAGGTAAATAAATAAATGCGGCAAAGCCCCAACAAAAATAGAGGCAGCAACGGCAGTAAGAGAGAGTGAGCCAGATAGAGCATGAGCAGCAGCTGAATGTTTTGCTCTCGCACCCACTCTCTCTCTCTCTCTCTCGCGATGTCTTGTGGTATTCCAGGCGCAGACGTCGACAGCTGGTTGCCGAACTGGTTTCGTTTAGTCCTCCAGCTAAATTACAGACAATTACAAACAACAACAACAACATTGCTCTTTGACTTTTTAAACGCAGCGGCAGCTGAGCACTAAAATCGGATTTGCTTTTATCAGCAGCAGCAGCAGCCACAGCCGCAGCAGCAGCGTAAATAGAAATTGCAGTGGGAGAGCAAGAGTGCGCCTCTCTCTCTCTCTCTCTCTCTCTCTCTCTCCACCATTCTGTGCCTCTTCTCATCACTTACATTCAATTTGTTGTTGTTGATGCTTTTTGTAGTTTATTTTTTATTGTTTAGTTATTTGGCTGATGCGTTCATTGGCTTTTGTAACGGCACTTTGTTATGTCGAGATGCATTTCTGTGCTACTTTTCGAGCGATGCGTTGGCCACACTCACACACATACGCACACATAATAACATACAGGAGCAAACAAGTTTCCAGGGCAAATGATCTAAAAATATCCGAAAAATCTAATAGAGCGTGCCAGCACTTACCTTTAATTTTAATTAGTTGGAATATTCAGCGTCGTTTTAATTTATGATTGAAAGTCAGCGGCTTAGCCGCGTTTTTACAGTTACGGCTATAAAACACAGTTGCTGCCAGCGTCGCGCTCGTTCTGTTGTCGTATTTCACGGTCGTTAGACTATAAGCGAAAATTAATAATAAAAACAATGTGAAACTATTTCCCGAAAATGCGCTAATTGGGAGACGAACAGGAGGGGCAATAACAGGAAAATATCCTGCGAGCCCGCATTGAAAAAGTAAAATGCAATAGTAATAAAAAGATGGGCAACAGAGGAAGAAAATAAGTAACAGAAACTTTCAATGTGAGGCGTTGGTCGCGGGTAGCGGCAATAGCGGCAGAGACGTCTGTCGGTAAAATTCCCAGATGAAGAGAGAAAAAGAGAGAGGCGGAGATGCAAAGAAGAAGCACTGAAGTTAGCGGCGGCTTTTGCACTGCGCAGGATATTTGCGGCGTTTGTATTTTATTTTGATTTATTTTAATTAAATTTCATCATTCGTTTATTTTCCACTGTGTTTGCTTCATATTTATTTTTTATTTTTGCTTCTTTTTTGTTACTCTGCTTTGACACTTTATTTCAGTTTTCCCCACTTCTTTTGCTCTGGCATGTTCAATGTGTGTATGTTTGTGTGTTTGTGTGCGTTAGTGTGAGTGTTGCTCTGTTTGTGTTTCCACTGCAACTCCGTTGCTGCCGTTTTACTTGCTGTTTGCTTTGCTTGGAAACTGAAACTTCTTTCTCTTTTGCACACATACGCTCACACGACCACACACACACGCACACACACATTCACACGCATACAAACTGAACGGCACAAACAACTCGCTTTATAAACTTACACGTTTCTTCTTTGAATTAAACTGCAATTTGCACTTCACAGATTAAAAATTTTACACTATATTCCTGCACTTAAGTTTTTGTTTTAATTCTTATTTTTCACCGACAAGAAACGTATAAAACACCGACCGACATAGCCTCGCACTGAAAACGCGTCCAACTCGCTCAACGGTTTTTTTCGACTAAAAGAAGTTATCTCTCCCGCTCGCACAACAACAAAAACTACAGCACTGCAGTGTGACCAGTTCGTAGAAAATATGAAACCTGAAGACATTCTTATTTTTATATTTGCACACTCTGCGGTCAGAACGTATTATTTTACCAATAAATATTTAACAAAATCATAAATGACTCTATTTCCAATACTTTAAGCGAATACCTTAACTTAGTATGTACTGGAAAAAATACTACATATATGTGACGTTTTTTTGTACATTTCCGCCATCCGGCATTCATTTTTACACAGTGGCAACGCCATTCCATATAGTTGCCACACAACTTCATTGTATCACATCGTTTTTCTTGTGGTGCGCGACCGCCAGTGTTTTTGATCTCTTTAATTAAAAGAAAACCGTTGGTGTGGTTTTCTAAAAGTTAAAGAAGACGTCATTTATATCGCTGCGTTAACAGAAATCATATACAAGCAGACGTTGCGTTTTACGTCAGGCCGGCAGCAGTGACTATGCAGTCCCATAGTAAAAAACGAGTTTGCTATTATTACGACAGTAAGTTGACATTAAAACTACTTTAATTACACTTAATTTATGTAATTGAGTGATAGGCAACGCATGCTTATCCTATTACATTGTTTTAAGAAGTCTGCGGCTAGTAGTCGGAAAATTTGGGTGGCAGATTTGTGAATTTCAATTTTTACAGCGACTGTACAAGCATTTTGGCACTCAGCGCACTTTTCCACTAACGACCGTAGTGACTGCGGCTCTGTTGGTGGTGTATGTGTATGTGTGTGTATACCTGTAGACCTTTGTTTTCGGTATAGCGAAAGTGTTGCTACGTTTGTATGCGACAAAGTGCACTGAATGGACGCCTCGCCGACAGTGGCCGTAAAATTTTCGTTTTACACAGCGTGGCGCATATCTGTGTTGAAAATGGGAAAATGATTATATTAAAGGATGCGTAGCAAACCCCATATACTAAAAATTAATTTATAATTTATTTGAGGCTACTTAATAGTCCATAGAAACTCTGTCTCTTTTATAGTTTAAGAGCCAATGATCTAATTTTACATATTCTAGGGTATCTTTCATTCTATTTCTATTAACACATTACTCTTGCACTCCACAGGTGACATTGGCAACTACTACTATGGCCAAGGCCATCCCATGAAGCCCCATCGCATACGCATGACCCACAATCTGTTGCTCAACTATGGACTCTATCGTAAAATGGAGATTTATGTGAGAACCCGACTAGGAGTTGCCTTATGAAATGATCTAATCAAGTGTGTAATTACAGAGACCCCATAAGGCCACAGCGGATGAGATGACCAAATTCCATTCAGATGAATATGTGAGATTTTTACGTTCCATACGCCCGGACAATATGACGGAGTATAACAAACAGATGCAGCGCTTCAATGTGGGCGAAGATTGTCCCGTTTTCGATGGGCTCTACGAGTTCTGTCAACTGTCCGCCGGTGGGTCAGTGGCTGCAGCTGTCAAGCTGAACAAACAGGCCTCGGAGATCTGCATCAACTGGGGAGGCGGTCTGCATCATGCCAAGAAATCGGAAGCTTCCGGCTTTTGCTATGTCAACGATATTGTCCTTGGCATCTTGGAGCTATTGAAGTATCATCAGCGAGTGCTCTACATCGACATCGATGTGCATCACGGCGATGGCGTCGAGGAGGCATTCTATACCACAGATCGGGTGATGACGGTCAGTTTCCATAAGTACGGAGAATACTTTCCGGGCACGGGCGATCTGAGGGATATTGGCGCTGGCAAGGGCAAATACTATGCTGTGAATATTCCGCTTCGCGATGGCATGGACGACGATGCCTACGAGAGCATCTTTGTGCCCATCATCTCCAAGGTCATGGAGACCTTCCAGCCGGCGGCTGTGGTGCTGCAATGCGGTGCTGACTCGCTGACGGGCGATCGCCTGGGTTGCTTCAATCTGACCGTCAAGGGACACGGCAAATGCGTCGAGTTTGTTAAGAAATACAACCTGCCCTTCCTGATGGTCGGCGGCGGCGGCTACACCATCCGTAATGTCTCCCGCTGCTGGACCTATGAGACGTCGGTGGCTCTGAACGTTGAAATTGCTAACGAACTGCCCTACAACGATTATTTTGAGTATTTCGGTCCGGATTTCAAGCTCCACATCAGCCCGAGCAACATGACGAATCAAAATACAGCAGAATATCTGGAGAAGATCAAGAACAAATTGTTCGACAATTTGAGGTTGTTGCCGCATGCGCCGGGTGTTCAAATCCAGGCCATACCCGAGGATGCGATAAACGATGAGTCCGAGGACGAGGATAAGGTGGACAAGGACGAACGCCTGCCCCAGAGCGACAAGGACAAACGCATTGTGCCGGAGAACGAGTACTCGGACTCGGAGGACGAGGGCGAAGGCGGCCGTCGAGACAATCGCAACTACAAGGGTCAACGCAAACGTCCAAGGCTCGACAAGGAGCCCATCATCAGCAATGCGAGCAGCAAAGCCAGCGCCGAGAGCAGCGAGGCTAAGGATGAAAAGGAGAAGGGTATATAGAGAGTTTACTATAGCCAATTTTCGGTGCATTTTAACTAACTTCTCTCTCTCATTCTCTTTCTCTCCAGCTGAAGCTGAAGGCGAGGAGTCCGCCACGGCCAACAATACGAATAGCAGCAGCAGCAACAGCGGCGGCAGCAACAGCAACAAAGATGACGCTGCCACGCCCACAGCCGGCGGTGGTGGCAGTGGTGCCGCCGCTGCATCGAAGGGCGCCAAGGAGAACAATATATGACGTGGCGGCCGCAATTGGTTATAGAAGCCAATTAAGCGACCGCCCAAATACAAGCCGCCGGATTTTACCTAGCATACGGATCCATAAGCAAATCAACAAATTTTTGGATTCCGGAGCTTAGTCAATAATTGAAAGAAACGAAAAAAAAAAAGAAAACAACAACTCAGCTTAAATTAAAATACAATTTATTGTAAGGCCCCATTTTCATTCAGTGTAAAGCGAATACGTATTTTAAGCTAACAGATACCATTTAAACCGAGAAGAGATACATTTAAAACGCAGATACATCTAACGAAAAAACCAAACAAACAAACAATTAAGATACAGTTATTATTAAAACGAACCCCTAAAGTTACTTACCCCATAAGCATGATCCACACGTATTTTTTAAACGATCGCTACAAAACTTTTAACAACAAAATAAAAACTCTTTTTAACTGTGAAACTTTTAATTAATATGTATCAATGGAATTGGTATGTAGAAAATCTAGATAATTTTATATCAATATGAGGTATTCTAGAATTTGCATATATGGAAAATAGCATAAAGTTTTAGATTACAATGTCTTTGTTCTATCTAATAAAGGAGAAGATCTTTACTTAAAAGGATAAGAAGTACGCACCTGAATGTATGAGAATCGCATAGAAGGACAACTTTTGTATGCACAAATTTGTACTTTGAAGTAGGTAATTCCATATATATAAAATATATATATATATTTTGTAATCAACGATTTTTTATACAAATTTTCATACTTACTTTACGATAGGTAACACATTTTCCATATATTTGATTCTTAATTTAGACTTCTTTAATACTTTTATTTATTATTCAAAAAGGAACTTGTGACAATTTGTTACACATTAACTAACTAAAATTTCAAACTAACTAAAGTTGAGGATTCGTATTCCAATCAGACGGATGGCAACTGCCTTTTCCCAATCAGACGGGATGACTGACTGACGGAGGCGCGCTTGATGAGACTTTTTGGCGACTAATCCAGCGATAATACGGACTCGATGCTGTTCCGATTGCTGCGTGGCTGCAGGCGTGGCCCGCCCAGATAGCTAATTGGATTCGCGAACTGGCGCTGCAGCAGCGCGGCCTCTAAATACATGGGCGGCAGCGTTGGTCGGGGGGCGCGCCGGGCAACCGTTGCCGGAGTTGTCCAATTGGAATTTTCGGCGCTGACGTCAAAGGCGAGCTTCGTGTCATCGTGTGCTTTGTGACGGGATTTGCGTCGTTGCGGTGGCTGCTATGGATTGTCGTGGGCGTGGCAGTGGACGTGGGGCGGTGGATTCAGGAATTGAGGTTATGTTGTTTAGGTTGGGGGTTTTCGGTTTTTGGGATGCGGGTTTTAGATCAAATAATTTAGGGTTTAATTCGATTAGGCTGTATTTGCAAGTGTTGTGAAATGGACGAGGTGTGAATAAACGTGGCCAGAGAGAGATATATGTAGATATATGTATATATTTCAAATAAAGTTTTGTAAAAAACAAAAAACAAAAAAACAAAAAAAACACATAAACGCATGTCTTTTCGGTTGGGGACATGGACATGATATGACACTAATAAATGCTTTTGATGATATGCATAAAATTTTTTGTTTTTGGGTACTCATTACGTATAACATTGAAGCGGCAGAGGAAGAGCAGCTAAAGAAAACGAAATGCAATTGCCATTATGTTACACCGCTAACCAGTTAGCAAACAACTGCGCTAGAGCAAGAGAGAGAGCAAGACTACACAGCATAAAATATTACGTTACGCCACTGTTAATCAAGGTGGGTCGATCGTAACAGCACCGTAAGCGCAGCTTAACAGCGCCTAATTGTATGTTAAAGCGAAAACCGAGTTTTTTTTTCACATGATTGATGCTGTAATTAGCGCGGAATGTTAAACCTCCTTTACGTTTGAGGGCTTACGCGTAGCGTTCGATTGGAAAGGTGTCTGCGTGTGCGTATTAATTGAATAGTTAAACGCGTGTGCATAAACCAAAATTTTATGTGTCAAATATGCACTGCAGTGCTTAAATTGTGTGCTAGTGGTAGGGCAAAAATATATATTTTTTTAAATTTTAAGTTTTACTTTATTGGAAGTCCTAAACGCGTTATTGCGTATTAAAGTGTGTGTAGTTTCTTTTTTATACATTTTTTGGGTGTGTATATATCTCCTATTTGTAATTCCAAGTGAAGTGTGTGTATATGTGTAGTCCAAAAAATCCACTTTGCAGCGCATTAAATTTGCGCTTTGTGTTTTGGCAACAATGGTGGCACCCTTGACCCAGCGCGAAAGAGTAAGCCACTTCACAGTTCGCCACACTTGCTTCCAGTACCTCATCTGTCTCTTTCTCTCATTCTTTCTCCTAAAAATCAACTACAAAGAGTGCAACAGCAGCAGCAACCGCAATTTGCAATCATGCACACATGCGTGCACATGTGTGAGTGTATATGTGTAGTCATCAGCGCACGAAACACACAAATGGAAAGCAAACGGGTAAGTGAAGTCGCGTTTACGTTCTCTTCTTTATTACACTTTTACATATGCATACGCATAATATACATACATACATACAGGCATAATTGCTCTCTTAAACTGACCTTCGGTAGACGCTCACGCTAGCGTTTATTCAAACTGTAATCACAATTCTTTTTATGCGTCGCTTAGCAATGCGACACTTAAACGGAGTTTTATATATTTGGTGTTGCACAGTGGTTTATGGGGATAAAAAAGTAATGAATGCATAAAAAGTAATTAAGTGGAAATGTTATTTAAATGGAAAAAATTCCGTCAGAATTTTTGCGTTCTCTTTTTCTTTCTTGTAATTAAATAAAGAGTTCACATTTATATTTGATGCCTGTTTTATAGAAAAGTTTATGCGTTCGCAAGGTTTTTCGAAAAATTGTTATTTCTCGCGTCGCTTTTTCATAGTTTTCCATTTGCAGCAACTCATTTCAGTTGCACTTTTGCTCGCTTTTATTGTTCTCGGTTGAAGGTAACGTCAACAACAACAATAACAACGACAGAAAGAAGAAGAGGCAGGCAAACTTGCACTTTCACACACAAACACACACCAATACACGCACACAATGGTACACCACTTCAGTGTCAGTGCGCGGGTGTTATATGTGCGTGTGTGTATTTGTGTTTGTGTTGTTGCATTTGGCAGCCGTATTAACATTGAGCGCACAGTTCTGCAATTTTTCATAGCATACAGCGCGGGGATAGCGATGTAACGGTATTTATAGAGAAGTATATGAATGGAACTCTTGCTCTCACAAACTCAGCGAGAAAATGTAGTAGATTTAAGATTAATTATATTAATCATTGAAATATATATAATTTACGAATTAAAATACTACAACTTCTTTAAAAGCTTTTCGAGGGGTTTTCAAAGAATTTTAGGAGATTTTATACTTTGCCATAATAAATAAATATTTTTATATTTGAAAGACACAAAATTTTTGCTAAAGAAATTTTCAAAGAAATTTAAATATTTTCAAAATGTAAGAAGTTTGTAATTTTAATTTACGGCATTTATTAAGTACTTATATTGATTATTTTATTTCAAAGTGTAAACATTACAAGGACTTTGTGCCCATCATCATTTGCTGCTGTTGCCGCGCTGGGCAATTTATTGTCCACCTGACAACAAAATACACACAAACACACACACAGACAGAGTGTCGGGGCACTTGAATGTATTTATTACACATGTTTTACATTGTACGCACAAGTTTGTTGCCCGATGTTTGGGGTCGTTCTGGTCAAGGAGAAGCAAATGCTTTGTTAACCATTATGGGCAATGTTTTAATACGACAACAACAACAACAATAATAACAACAAGCATAACTTTTCACATTTAATGAGCGAGCAAGAAGCACACACAAAGAGGGGGAGAGAGAGAGGGCGACAGTTCTACAGTTGAAAGAAAAAGTTTGCGTTTTTTTTTCCTTTGTATTTCAACTTTTTTAACGCGGAAATTAATAACAAATTGCTTGAAGGCAGCGCGACGCTAGCTGCTAGCTGTAGTAAAAAAAAAAAATAATAAAAAATGTGGAAGAAGAAGCAGCAGCAGCAGCAGCAGCAAACTTTTGCTTATCCACAATAAACACTTCATTGCGCACTTGAGTTAATTTGTCAAGAACTCGACGCATATGTTCGAAATTATTGAAAAAGTTTCAAGTGTGAGCGAAAGAAAGGAGAGAAACACAGAAAGAGGGAGAGGAAGAGAGTGAGCGAGCAAGAGCGAGTTAAAAATTTTATGGTGTCCTTTATAGCTTTTCATTAGGTCCAGCGCCAGGCAATTGCAATTGTTGTAAAGCATGAATAATGCATGCTCCGAAAACTTTTATTAAAATGCATAAAACCACAGCCAAAAAAAAAAGAGAAAGAAAATTAAAAATGGAGTGAGAAAAAATGCAAAGAGAAAACTTGAGATTTTCATAGCTGACCAAAATGCAGGCCAGCGTCAATTGGCTGTGGCACAGATTTTATAGTGTTTCCATCGAAAAACGTTCAATATTAAGTAAGAGATATTTGGTTGAGGCAGTGATTGATTGAAGCCGTGATTGATGAAAGAAATTTGTTAAGTAAGTCAAAGAGAAATATTTCTTATTTTAAATTTAATTTGCTTTCAATGAATTCTTGAATATTTTTTGAGTCTAAGAAGTCGTTTAAAGCATCGGAACTGATTGATGATTGATGATGGCAAATTTTCGTGGCGTACATTAAATAACGTTGTTTCTAGAAAATGTTGAATGTATTTTCTTATCAAAAATTAAGTTTATCAATTTGTTTTCGATTTATCTGAGGGTTTACCCATGTACTTCGCATAGAAATCTTGTTGACCCAAAATATTTTGATCTTAAAAATCCTAAACACTTTCCAACTTATGTAACTTCTTGTCAAATAACTTTTTCAGAAAAAAAAAAAAAAAAAAAAATAACAAAAAATCAAACTAAAATCCTGTCGATTCTGAACATTTGCTGCTTCAGAGATTTATTGTGTCATCGAAGTTAAATGCTTACAAATTCGATTGCATTGCACGAGCAGTGGAAACAAGTTTGTTTTTCTGTATTTGCTTTGCTTGCAAACTCAATTGGGGCCTTGAGCTTTGTTCCAGCTGTTTTTCCTTTTCTGTTCAATAAACTGTAATTCGTGTTTGAATGTGTGTGTGTATGTGTGTGTGAACTGGCATTTGTCGCACGTATACACACGCGTATGTGCACACATTCACACACACTTACACACACAGTCAATTGCACACATATCTAGCTGCACTCACACACACACATACATATTGCACTTGGCATACATGGCGTATGAGTGACATTTAATTAAAATTTATGCAGTCTAAAAGGCAAAAATAACACACACACACACACACACTCGAAAAAATAGTAGAAGACCTTCTTGTGCTGCTGCTTCTAGTAGCAGCAGTTGTTGTAGCTCATCTTGTTGTTGTAATTGTTGTTGTTGTTGTTGTTGTTGTTGTTGTTGTTGTTGTTGTAGCCTGACGCTGAGGCTGTTCAAATTTATGCAACGCGCGTCATTTTGTTTGAGTTTTATTAAACGCTGGCAGTTGTAACTCGCCTCGTAATCATGTGTAAATTTGTTTTTACACCAAGTGAATGGAAGGGGTAGGGGAAAGGAAGGGGTAATGGGTATGAGAACGGTAACAGCATAGAGCACAGGTCGAGCGTTGTCTGCTCTACTTCTGCTGCTGCTGCTGCTGCTGCTGCTACTGCTATCTGCTGCTCTGCTCTCTGCTCCTTTTTGTGTGTGGCTGAGCATTGTGGCCATACGTTGTCAGAGCTGTGTGCAGAAATTTTCTAATATTTAAATGGGAAATTGTATGCTTAGGGCATAATTGCACTTTGCACTCACCATTGTCTTCGTGTACGTGTGAGTGTGTATGTGTGTGTGCGTGTGCGTGTGTTAGTCAAGTGGATAACTAATGTGCAGCTGCATAATTAGAGTTGGGCTGCCTAAACTTATTGCTGTCTCTCGAAATGTTTGAGATCATCTCAACATTACTAGCGAAAAGTGAAAAGCAGATCAAATTATTTGAATTGTATTCACAAAATTATCTATTTAAGTTTATGTTTAACTGTTTGTAATCCGATTTAGTTGAGGTGCATAAAGCTAAAGCAGTTATCAAATAAAATTTATGACTCTGACTGCAGCAGTGGGGAAGATTTTGCTTTATGTTATTAAGTGTCCGATATATATATATATATATATATATATATATATATATATATATATATATATATATATATATATATATATAATAAATTAATTATTATTTTGTATTTATTTATATATTTTTTGTTTATTTATTGTGTTGCATTTTGATTAATATAATTATTATTTTCATTATTTTTAGGTATGTTTATATAATAAATGAATTGTTTCCATTGCTTTCTGGGACCTCTTATGTATTTTTCCACTATTGTTTTACATAATAATTATTTATTTATTTTTATGAATGCAGTATTTCTATGGAATTTTCCATTTCCCATTTTCCCATTTTTTTTTACACTTTTATTATATTAAATTAATTTTATATATTTATTATTCCTTATATCTAGATATACATATATTATATATACAATTACATAAAAAAATGTTAAATTTATCACTTTGGCTGTTATTGGTACATGAACAATTGAGATGTCTCTCTCTCTCTCTCTCTCCCTCTCTCTCAATATTCTCATATGCTTCGCTTTGGCTCCACTTTGGCAATTTTGCCTTGCCTTTTGGCCTGCATCCAGGCCTGCAGCTGCATGCGTCTGTAGTGTAAATGTCGCTGCAGACTCTTCTTAAATATTGTCTCTCGGGCGAGTATCTCCAGGTCCTCATCGCTGCATTCGCGTATGTTCTGCTTGGTTCTGGCAATTAACTCATTGGTCAGCTGTATCTTTGTGGCCGAGGTGCGAACTGAATGCAGCTTGCGGCGTCTCAGCTCCTCGCGATGCAAGTACAGGGCATAGGCTGTGCTGGCTGCTGCGTGTTGTTGTTGTTGTTGCTCTGAAGTCGGCGTCTGTTGTGGATTGCACATCTTGGCTGCTGGAATGCTGAACTGCGTTTGCTGTCCTCAGCTCGGATGTTGCTCACTTTTATGCCACAATCCGGGTGGCACGGCAAATACCTGCTCATTCATGAGCTACGACGCGGCTGCTGCGCTGCTGCTGCTGCTGCTGCTGTGGCACAGGTCAACGAGGTAAAGGTGCCCTTTTTTATGGTTCATTGAAATGATTGCATTTTTTTTTTACAACTGGATTACTAAAACAAAAACAAAAAAAAAAGTGTGCTTAATCCCATTCATTACCTAAAAAGTGTCGTAAAGTCGCAACGGCTGCCGCAAAAAGTGGCAGCATCAGCAGCAGCGATAGCCAGCAGCAGGAGCAGGCCGCAAGGATGAGAGTCCTGCGCGTTTTCACACGCTAATCCAGATGCATGCATAACTGGATTAGGCCAAACGAACTGTTTATGGGTCAAGTGACAGGGCCCTCTGGCAGCGTGAGGCAGCATGTTGCATGCTACATGCGGCACGTTGCATATCATTTGCACGTTGTTAACTAATCCTCTACACACAATTCGCGCTCTGTCACACACTCACACACACTCTCTCTCTCTTCCTTTGTCTCTCTCAAGCTCATTCGCTCTCATTCGCTTTGGTCGCAATTAGCATCATAATGAACCGACAGCTGATGGCTTTTTAGTTAGTTTTTTTTTTTGGGAAATTCACATGAGCAGACCAGAGTTGCGGCGGGCCGCCAGGGTTGTCAGCCATCTAGCCAAATTGCCAGCTGACCCAAATTTGTGAACGGGACAAAACCAAATATTTGGCTTTAATCGCTGGCAGGCAGCTTTAATGAATTTCAAGTTCGTTGAACGTGTGGAATTAACAAAACTATTCGCAGATAACAAGATTAAAAGCGGCATAGACTGCCCGCTATCAAAGTGTATACCCTGTAGATTTCAGGAAAGGTGAAGGAAGTATATGAGAAATTAGCGTAATTTACAGTCGTATATCTCGTGTTCTTTCTTCATTCCTTTGCAAATTTCATCAAAGTTTTTTCGTATTCACAGCGCGTTTTGCGCTTTTCAGCACTTGTTGGCTTTAAAGCCCAAGAGCTGGTCGTAAACTCATTAAATTTGGCCATTTTCAACGCCTTGTATCATCGCATTTTTCAATAAGCCCGGCGGTTGCGGGAGCTGAAGCTGCCACCCGGCCCATGGCTGCCGGCAAAAGGGAATGTAAAGAAAACAGCAGCTCCTTGGGCTGCTGCACATTTAATACCCCTCACATTTACTGTGGGGTATATGCTTTATAGAGCTTGAATCGAAACAAAATTCATTTTCTATTTTCATTAATAATGAATACAATCTTCATATTCATTAAAGTTTAAATGAAGGAAAAACTTAAATTTTGTTGGATTTATGAGCGCAAAGAACAAGACTAAGAGTAAAACAAAAAAATTAAAAATTATTCAAATTTCATTACTCTAATAAATAACTTAATTTAAACTAAAAATCCGAACTTTCTTTTTAGTTCTCAAACATTCGCCTGTTTCAGAAATCTTACAGAGTATTTGAGCTTTGGCATATGCCACATTCTTTCGATATTTCATTATGTAAAAGGGGTTTTCTTCGAGCTGTCGACACTTGGGGGCCTCGCGAGGGCTGGTCCAGGGGTTTTTGGTTCGTGCGCAATGTGCGAAAATCACAACATTTTAATCTTATAATCTGAATTTATGAGCAGACTCAATTTCGTTATGCTTAACGACATTTTATGCGGTTATTTTATGCAGGCAGCCAAAGCTCGAGTAGATGAAGCATAATGCTGTCTCATTCGCACAAACACACACACATACATGTGCTCTGCGGTTTGTTCGCATCCTAAATGGCAGCAGCAGCAGCAGCAACAGCAGCTGCTAGCTACAACGACGAAAGTTAAGTACATCAAATAGTGTGTGAGTGTGTGTGTGTTAGGGAGAAACGTGAGTTTATATGTGTATGTGTGGGTGTGTGTGTGTGTGTAAGTGGGTGCTTGAGATTTTGTATGGTCGCACAAAACACATTAGTTGAAAGTACTGACCAACAAAGCCACTAACAAGCTGTCGGTTGACTCCCCACACACACACACATCTACACATATTGTACTGCATTACATATTGAAGTGCCATTATGTGTGCCAAAATATTTGCCTGCTTTCACCTCGTCTTCTCCTTTTTATACCCTGAACCCATTGAAAATGGGAAATCAGGGTATAATGGTTTTGTGAAAAAGTATGTAACGGGCAGAAGGAGGCGTGGCAGACCCCACAAAGTATATATATTCTTGATCAGCGCGACGAGCTGAGTCTATATAGCCCTGTCCGTCCGTCCGTCCGTCCGTCCGTCCGTATGAGTGCGTCGATCTCAGAAGTTATAAGAGCTAGAGAGCTGAAATTTGGCATGCATACTCGTGTGCACCATACGCAGTACGAGTTTGCTTTATTTTTTCGATAATTCATCCGATAACTTTTTTATCGAGAATAATCGAAAAAATGATTTTGTTTTTTAGCCTAATTTGAACACTTTTAGACCTGGAGTCTTCAAACTTACGTTGTATATAAAATTAATGGATACAAAGATTTTGTAATTTACAGATTTTGGATACCACGCCCCCTTCTCCCCCAATTTGTAAAAAACGCATTTCAAGTACTAGAGACTTGTGCTTTGGAATGTACACATATATTCACCATATGATTACGCTCTGAAAGTTTCATTAAGATCGTATGTCTATAAAAGAAATTATTCAACAAATGAATTCTCATAATATTGCACACTGCAGCGCAGCCCAAGCGCAGTCGCTGCTTACTGCGCAGTTAGCAGAGCGCAGGCTTATGCGTGCGTGTGGACGCATGTGTATTCATGTAAGCATAAAAGAAGTGCAGAATGATTAGAATATCAGCTTAGAGGGTTCAGGGTATCTCCTAGTCGAGCAGTCTCGACTGGAGCCTTCTTACTTGTTCTCTTTTGTTGTTTAACTCAACATTTTGTCGTTAGCAAACTTTTTTAATAAAATCATTTAAATAAATGAGAATTTAAATTAATATACATATTAAAGTATGCTTTTATATGCTCGCAGAAATAATTTTAACTTAACTTTTTCATTTTTTTTTTTTTTTTTTGTTATTATTATTATCGCAAAGGAAAAAACTTTTATTATCATCATATATATCACACACGCAGCGAGAACTGCAAGTCAGTTGCTTAAATTTATTATTTATGGATAGAGACATACATATATATATGTATATGTGCACATACGTGTATATACATATATATATATAAACGGATATATTTTAATTTACACTTAATACCTGCTTCGAATACAATTTATAAACTTTTTAGCTTTATTTTGTTTGCTTAAATTTTAGTTACACTTAATAGTTTAACAAATCTTCTTATGCTTTTCGTTGGTTTATTCATATACAATGAAAACCATTCTCATACATCTCTATCTCTATCTCTATCTCATCTCATTTCATCAAAAAATCCTATGAATTATTAACTCATTTTCTTGCTAGAATATATCAGACGGAAAAAACTTTCCTTCAAAAATTTCTTTGTACAATAAATTGTTGTTAATCAAGTGAGTTAATCCAGTCATTTCCTATGCAAATCCTATGAACGCTTAGAAACTTTAGTACAAAGTTTCAATAGAAAATATCTGCAGATTATTGCTTTGATAAGTAACCTAAAATACCTCAGCTTCTTGTCTAGAAAATAAGAAAATTCTTGAATTTTCTTTATTTATTCATTGTGTTTTTATTTCATGAACTAATTCAATCACTTTTGTGTATAAAAGCATTCAGTATATCTGATAAAAGTCTTCACTACAAACTTTATATTAGATTATCTGTTTTTGCTACTGTTTTATCAAATTTAGATAAAGCCTTAGCTTTGTCTAGAATATAACAAACTTTACTTTAGAAATTCGTTTAAATATTTCATTTTTGCAAATCAATTTGCCTTCATTTGATCAATTTAAATGTTTAAAAATACTTGATTGCATTTAAATTTCGTTTAAATATACATAAGTATCCGTTGTAAAATATATGTATATATTTTTTTCTCATTTTTTTTCCGTTATTTTTCTTGGCTCTTTAATCCATATAAATTGTTGTTTGTCCTGTTTTCGACTTATTGTCTTGCCGAAATATTTATGCTGATTTTTATTATTCTTTCTATTTTTGCATATTTTATATATATTCTTGTTGTTGTATTCTTCTCGTTTTTTCTTTCGTTGCTGTCAATTGCGCGTTGTTGTCGCTCGTCTATTGATGCCGTGGTAGCCATTTTGCTTGGCTGTTTTGCGGCTGGTCTCCTTGCCGCCGCCGTTGCTGCTGCTGCTGCTGCTGTTGCTGTTGCCACTCCCGCTGTTATTGCTGGCCGTATCTACATCCGTTTCCGCTACAATTGGCGGACCCCATGACACTTGTCTCCTCACAGTGGGCGCCGTCGCCGCAGTCCCCTTGCGTCGCCTTGTGCCCGGCTGCTGAAGTGTTGCAGCTCTTTGTAGCGGTTGCCGCTGTGGCAACGGCTGTTGCTGTTGTTGCTGTTGCCTTTGATTGTCATGTTTCTGCTGCTGCTGCGGAGATGTTTGGCATTGCATTTTATTAAAAAAAAAAAAAAATCGGTGTTTCCTTCATTCAACGTTCTCTTTAGTTTCACATATTCTTTTTGCATATTTCTTCATTCAAACATTTGTTGCTGCCACGTTGCATATACTTTAATTAGTCTGGCTGCCAACAACGCTGTTGCATGCAACGCCTTACAAGTAACAACTAGTTGGGATTGCTTCATGCGTACCTTTTAATTAACATGCTGCACACAATACACAACTCGTGCATCTATTCAGCTGGCTAGCATTGTTGCTGCCAAACCAAACGCATGCGTAGAGCTACCTCTTACATAATATTAATATATATATACATATTTTTTTTTTTTAAGAATCCTCACATGTGTTAATGAAATAGTTAATTGGCAATTGCCGTGGGTTAAAAAGTGAAGCTAAATTAAGTTTTTGTTACAGTTGCTTTGAGACTTGTAAAAGAGTCGTAGGACCTCTTAAAGCTACTCATTTATATTGACTAGAACAGCTTTGTTTAGATATTATGGCCTTAAAGAATATATCATTTTTTTTAGAGCATATATCATATTTTGTATGTCTAACATTTTTATATACAACAAATCTAATCATAAGCGTTACTAAGCCTTCTCTGCTTGTGCTTTTGCTCTTGTGAACAAAATCTTAGCAACGTTTAGGTGAGCAAATATTGTTTTCAAATTAAGTTCAATTTCTTTTTGCACTTGTATTTTGCTTGCTTTTTTTTCCACACCCACACAGCAATTAGAAGTTTTTGTGCAGCTCTTGCAGCTTTGAATCGATATCAAATTGATTTTCCAATGAAATTTTGTTGACTTGTGGCTGGGTTGCGCATACGCCGCGTGGGCCAGCGCTTGTGTGTGTTTGCTCTGGGTGTATTTGTTTAAAAAGCTGTGGGCTGCTGTTTTAATTTACACATCATTAGCTCGACTTTTTGCCTTCATTAAGATTTATAGAAAAGTTGCACAAGTGTGTGTGTGTGTGTATGGCTGTGTGTGTTGTTGTGTGTTTTTCTGCTTGAGGTTTTTTGTATTTGCATTCTAAGCTCGTAATGAGTTTTACCGCAACATTGCGGCAAACTGGCAAAGTTAAGTGCGTGCTGCGTTTGTGGCCAAGCCAAATGAACAGCTAGAACAGCAGCAGTGGCAGCAAGAAAATGCAAAGAGCCGTGCCACAAAACATTTTGGCATCAAAAGAAAATAGGCATACATGCAACAGCAGCAACGGCAGCAACAGCAGCAGCAGCAGCAGCAGTAACTGCACCCGCACTTGCACTTTTTCTTTGCTTGAACAAAAGCCGCTCAAAGAATACACCCCGAGCAGCTCTTCGTCCTGGCTGGCAGCTGTAAGCGAAACTTTTTGATTTGCTGTGGGGAAAATGGAAACTTTTTGGGGGATGCGCTTCAATTTCGGTTGCCTTGCAATCAGCCAGGAAGAAGGCAGCGTCGACGCCAAACGCCGCAAGTCAGGCGGAAATGGCGGAGAGAGAGAGACAGAGAGTGTGGGGAGAAGATCGGTGAGGGGGGCCAAACCAGAGATGGGTGTCAGGGGTCGAGCTGCAGCACAATGTTGCCTAGACAATGGCGCACGCACTTTGCCCGCACAACTTTTGCCAAGACACAATACCCTATCAACAGAAACGTAGGGTAGATGCAGTTCGAACAAAAAAAAAAAAAAAAAAAAAAACAAAAAATAAATAAATAAATGCAAATTAAATAAAATTGTAATCAAGTTCTCGCCTCACTATATAGAGTAACTGCTAGTCGATCACAGTTAAGCCTTGCGATTGTCATGGCTATGCCAGATTTGAATGCAGCTTGCAATGAAGCTGGAGCCTCGTAGATTTGCAATGCGAGATTCGAGATTGCGAGCGACTAGTCACAAAATTCAATTTGGCTGCAGCTTAAGTTCAACTCTGCGAAAAGTACATGCTAAGTAAGCTCAAAAGTAGAAACGCTATTCGCCCCCAGCGCCAAGCCCCTTGAAAATATAAAATAAAAACTTTCGACAGACACTTTTGACGTTACGAGCTATATAAAAGCCAATAAGTTCAATATTTTGCTTTTAGATTTCGGCAGGAGATGGCAAGAGAGAAAGGGAGAGCGAATGAGAGAAAAAGAGAGAGCGTGACAGAGTGAGAGAGATTCACAAAAAGTTGTTTTTTTCTTTAGTTCGTGCTGTAAAGTCGGTTGCAAAGTTTCAAGTTTTGCCACATTGCCAAGCATTTACTTGGCTCAAGTTGCCTTTTTGTCTCGATTTCTATTTATATATATATATATATATATATATCTATGTATATGTATGTGCATATATAAATCATGAAACATGGCACGATATGGCAGGTATTTGTGCACCACATGAAACAAAGTTCCAAATCGAAATAATATTGCATAAATTTGTGGCTGCCTCAATACTTGTTATTTTGGTTTTAGTTGCGGCTTTGTCTGTTCTCAGTTCCATTGTTTGGCTTGCTTTTTGTATAAGATTATTTTTATATAAATATTTTTCCACTTTTTTTCCTATTTTTTTTTTTTTCTTTCGTTAGTTTCGCCTCAACGCATATTAATTTTGC